TATTCTCCCTTGTGTGAAGGTATATATCTGCACATAATATGATTTTGTTTGTTCAATCGAACATTGTGTTACCGATTAAAATCTCAATGCCTTGTATTTTCCTCCTTAGGAATTGTCATCAGATTCTTCCCAGCATGTGCGGTCCGCTTTGGCTTCAGTTATTATGGGAATGGCTCCTGTCCTGGGGAAGGTAAGAATGCTTCGTAAAAGTTACTAAGAACTTAGCCAATGTCATATCAAAGAAAAAACTACTATGAGTAGTGTTGTAATATTGTTATCAATTTTGACTCCATCGTACAAGAAATTATTAACAGAAGATAGAATTCTCTTAATATTTTTGGGAATATTGTTTTGTACTAGTTGGTGCTCTAACTATTACATTTATTGTTACTCGATGTGTTTAGGAACTAGCATCCTGTTGTGAAGAATTCTGCTTCTTGTGAGAATCGCAACTTAAGAAACCAGTAGATGGGCAATTGAGCATTAGAACCTATTACAAGTGGACTAAATTTGGATGTTTTATCTTGTTAATTTTCTTTTCATGGATGGCTTTTTTGGATAACACATCAGACCTATTCTAGTTGTTATGGCTCATTAGCTATCTAGCTTCTGTTTGTTTAAAAAACCATCTCACATGATATTGTCAAATCTTTTTCTTAGACCTGTTGATCGTTCTTCCAATTTCAGTCAGAACAGGACTTTTGAAATTCATTGGGTTGTTACTGCAGGATGCTACAATTGAGCAGCTTCTTCCAATATTTCTTTCACTGTTGAAGGATGAATTTCCTGATGTCCGCCTCAACATCATCAGCAAGCTTGATCAAGTGAATCAGGTTTGTGATTCCTTAGGACAGCTTAGGATTTTCTTTTGAATCTTATATAGAATTGAATAATTCAAATATTGCTAGAAACTATCCAATGACAATGTGATTAAATCTTTCAAGGTTCTCATGTCCTGAAAGGATAATGGGAAGTTGAGAAATCATATACTCAATGTAAGAAAACAAGACAAATTATTGCAATGAATGCTCCTTGCTTTTTGCTTCCCTCTGTTTTCTCACTCTAACTGGATGTGTTTTCTGGCTTAAATTTATTCTGGCTTTTTTCTGATCCATTTTTGCTCTTGATGACTTGTTGCCTTCTTTTTATGTCTATGAGGATTTAGTGATTGAAATTTCTTGGACACACTACTCTATATAAATAGCCTATGGTAGTAATTGCTGCTTCACCACATGCTACGTCTGCTTTTTCTTTGGATTCAATAGGTTCTTTCAAATGATAGTGCATATTCTGTTTGCACATTATATGCCTGTCAAAAAGTGTTTGTCTCCTTTTTTCCACTTAAGTGACGCTGGAATAAGAGCTTTACTTGCAGGTTATTGGAATTGATCTACTGTCTCAATCATTATTGCCAGCTATTGTTGAGCTTGCAGAGGATAGGCATTGGAGGGTTCGGCTTGCAATTATAGAGTATATACCTTTATTGGCAAGTCAGTTGGGTGTTGGGTTCTTTGACGATAAACTTGGGGCTCTGTGCATGCAGTGGTTACAGGATAAGGTTTGTTTTCTTCTAATCTCGTATAACTGCAGTTATAGAATATAAGTCTCTTCTTACTTCTACAATATGTCACACTGGACCTTATTGTTCAATGATTCTGTTTTTTAAGAGAGATTCTACAACTAGAAGTTTGCTTTTAAATGCTGAAGGCCTTTAGTTGTCCTTAGTAAGCATGATCTGCGGCTTCAGGGACCCCGTGTAGGGATCATGTCATGTATTAGATACAGCTGAAAGTTAGGCGCAAAAACTTGATTTTATTGAGATTGGATTCCTGCTCTCAGTGCATAAGTTTGTTACTATCTCAAGATTAATTTCATTTATGTATGTTGGATAGAGTATTTATTTTGATTAGTAAAATATGTTTGAATGATGCTCTTGTTACATATGTAAATTAATTATTTCTATCAACTTCGTTATGGGCAAGTGATTTATACACATTATTGATACTATCTTGCCTATGTATTTATTGTAGGTTTACTCAATTCGTGATGCTGCAGCAAATAATTTAAAGCGGCTTGCTGAAGAATTTGGTCCAGAGTGGGCAATGCAACACATAGTGCCACAGGTTTGTTTTTCTTAATCCTCTGGCTGGGAATTCTACTGCTCTTATAATGACTGACAACTCATTGCTTTTTGTTTCCCTATGCGTAAGTGCATGCTTGGCTAATATTAAAATCTGATTAAAAAGGTATGATATGCTTAGTGCTAACATTTGTTCCTATGTGTCCAATGCCTTTGCCAGTGGATAAGGCTTCAGGTGTAACACTATTTAAATATTTGTTGTAGTTAATTCTGCTAGGTCTCTGTGAATAACAGGCTAGGGATGTCTGAGAAATGTTAATGGGCTGTTTTTGTGGCAAATGTACTTTTCTGTTGTTTGTCCTCTCTCTGTTTGGATGTTTAGAAACTCAGTTCAGTTTATATCGTTTGAGACTGTTTTGGAGTGCTAGAAATAGAAAGGTTTCTTCAATATGCTTCAGGTTGACAAGCTTACAAAGTTCCATCTTGTCATTTATTGTATTTTTTTTTATTTTCCCATTTGTTTGGTATGTCTACCTACATGCTTTCTACCAAAGGAGTGAAAATTGGCGTTTAAACCTTGTAGGCTCTGGAGATGATTAATAATCCTCATTACTTGTATCGGATGACCATCTTACGTGCTATCTCACTACTAGCTCCTGTTATGGGATCAGAAATTACATGTTCTAAACTGCTTCCTGTGGTCATCAATGCATCAAAAGACAGGTATATGGGTTCATGGCACTTCCTGTGTGATAAAAATTTAAACTAATTGCAATTGGTAGTCTTTGAATTGGAATGCAATTTTTGTGGTCTTTGGATTGAACTCAATTCTTTCTGCAGGGTACCTAACATCAAGTTCAATGTGGCAAAGGTGCTGCAGTCCCTCATTCCCATAGTTGATCAGTCTGTAAGTCCTTCATGAATTTTTCTTCTTTTTTTATTCTTTGTTTTTTTTTTTAGTATGTTTATGGTGCTCAATTGGCTTAATTTCATTGGATACTGATCTATGCTTTTACCTTGATTATTCAACTCTCAATTTCCTTGTTTGCATATTAACCCAATAGGTTGTGGAGAAAACCATCCGTCCCGCCTTGGTAGAGCTAAGTGAGGATCCTGATGTTGATGTCCGCTTTTTTGCCAACCAAGCACTTCAGGCAATCGATAATGTGATGATGTCTAGCTAAACCCGACTCCTACAGACCTCATGGAACCTACAGTTCTATTGAACCTAAAGTTCTATTCATCTAATTAGTTCCCTCTTTCTTGATGTCGAGTGTTAGTGCAATTTTATGCCCCTTGTGAGTTGTTACTAACGTGGAACTGCTATTTTTGGCTTTTAATTTATGTAGTGTGTTTCATAAACTTGTTCTATATTCCTCTTATTATATATTATTTCTATTTTTCTTTTTATCCTTTTGCCATTTTGGAACTCCAAAATGGTTTTTCTTGTTGCATAATGCATATGCTCTAATAACTCTATTTAAATTTGATGATATGACGGTTGGTCAGAAGGGCAAATGAACAATTGAATTCAAAATTCCAAATATCTCGTTTAAATTTCATGCTATGCGAGGAGCAGTTACCAAGTAATAGAGGCATTTCTTTGTGATTCATTTTAAGAAAATCAATTTAAATATAAAAACTAAAGAGTAGTATTTATTAAATTATTTGTGCATAGCATAAACATATATCCACTGTTAAAATATATTTGTCTAAATCATTCATGGGGTCGGAGTGAATATTGGATTGAAAAATGTCAAACAAGAAACAGTCGACCCACTATTCTTTTCACATATTGAAACCCGCGTTCCGCCCCATAGGCTTGAAATTCGTAGGTTTTAGTTTCTTTGAATTGAAGATGCGTTTAAAATTCACACATCAAAGTCCATTGTCTAAAATTAGTTAGAGAAATATTTTATTTGTCTAAAATTAGCTTCCATCCCTAATGACGTGTTAAGCAAATATTGGACCTTGATCAATATAACAAGAAGCAAACTCACTAAGCAAGCAATAGTGTTCGAAATAATTTTGAGTTTTGATTTATTGTTTGCAGAATGATAATTTCAACTCAAAACATTGCAATCTACACTTTTAAAATGCAAAAACAATTTGTTACTCGTCAAGTAAGAATGGAGAGGTGAATTTCTTGGATCTCTCCTTTATCGAATATGGTTAAATTGAAAAAACAATTTGCTATTCATAACGAGTTATCTCCTCCTCCATCGGTTTTTAATTTACTAGAGATTAAATAAATCAAAATAATATTATTGATGACATAGTAGGAGTTGTCTAACATTATTATAATAGGAGTAATTTTTCTATTGTAAATAATAGTTACTGAATCAAGCTTGTTTTAAAAAAGCTGAAAAGAATTTTACCAAAAAAAGAAGGCTGAAAAGTTAATCCCATCAAATAAAAGATGTCCATCACCTGATAATTTTCAATAATATTATTGCCCTTAGAATTATAAATTTTAGTAATTTTACATATCTTTTTACACTAACAATAATAATTCTTAGAGTTTTTAGATTTTATACATAAAATATTGATTTGATGAGCGTTTAGCATAGCTTTTAGAGCAATAATTTCACATTTTTCAATCATCTACAAGTATTTAATTGATATTATTTTGTAAGTTGAAGTGTTCAATCAAATGATTTTGTAAATTGAAATATTTAAATTTTATAAGTTAAAGTGTTTAATAAGTCAAAGTAAATTTAAGAGGTCACAAAGTTAAAATACTAAAATTTAATGGTGAAATTATATATCATGCCGTATGAGTTATAACAACATGCATATATATACCTTGGATTTTGATGGATGTCAAGTTAGAAATTTTAATTGTCATTTCTCAACCAAATAGAAATGAAAGTAAAAATTCTATTCTTAATATCAACTTCCTAACCCATCCAACATAATAAATAGAATAATCAAGCTTTGGAATAAAATTTTTTTTATACATATATACAAAAATCATAAGCTACTTTAACATTTACAACCTCTAGACAAACACAATGGCCTGCAATGTGTACTTGAGGAATCTACAAGTCCTGTCTTTTAACCTATATAGCTAATTTCTTTCTAACAATAAGTAAAAATGAAACATAAAATAATTCTCTGGACATGCTTCATAGTCACCGCTGTTGATTGAGTTTTACCTGAATATATCATTCTAATTTGAATGTTGCAGATAATTTTTTTTTTTTTTTTTTTAAGAAAAGAGGTAATCTCTAGTTGATAAAGGACTTGATTTGGGAGATCATCTCAATTGCTCTAGTTTGTGATATTTGAGACTTACTTAAAACTTGAAAGGCATGTCCTACACCTTTATGCACCACATGCTCCACTTTCTTCCCTGCTTTACACAAACCATTTACAAACTCCAAATTCCTATCTTTCAATATATCCATTTCAGATATAAACACCATTATTTCCAAATCCATCAATTTCTCCATTTTCACTCCCACCTGAGGATTACACCATGGATGGTTGCGATTAGCGTCACGTGGCAATGCTAGTCTCCAATAGGTATCAGAGCTTGCCAAAGTCAACGCTGACCGAGTTGACTGTACTAAATATTTTTCTGAGTTAGTTCTTACCTCTCCTCCAAAAAATGGCTGGATTAGAATCAAACCCTTTATAGTTAATGGCTTCATATCCAACACTCCATTAGATGAGCTAAGCCTTGTAATAATATTATAAGCTATATTAGCACCAGCACTATCACCAGCTACAAATATTTTAGAAAAATTGCATTTTTTGGACCACCAGTAATACTCTTCACTTAAACCTTGTTTTCTTAACCACATTAAAGCTTTAATCCCATCTTCAAAAGCTGCAGGCAGAGGATTTTCTGGGGCTAATCGATAATTAACAGACATAATTAAGCAATTTGCTTTGGAAGCTAATCTTGCTAAAAATTCATGATAACAAATCCAAGAAGCAGAGCCAACACAAAACCCACCTCCATGAAAATATATCATCAAAGGGAGGTTATTAGGGTTATTATTACCATGACAGGAACTTGGAACGTAAAATCTTGCCCAAACGTTTGTGAACTTGTCAATGACTACATCCTGTGACATAACACCTAGCTCTGAAGCCAATTTTGGAGCGACAGAAGCAACAATGTGAGATCTTTCTACGTACCCATCTTTGTATACTTTAATTAGCCCTTCAATTTCTTCTGTAATTACCCGGTGACAAGTTCTGCCAATCTGTAGGCTTAAGCTTGAATCTACTGAAATGGCAGCGACCATTTTTTTCTTCTTCTAATATATATTATATGTGTAGATAACTTAATGGAAATGAAATATCAGAATTATTTCAAGTGTATGGTTTTGGATTTCTGTCGAAGGACTAATTAACTTGCGTGTGTATATCTAAATATATAGTAGCAGCAGAGTAAGAGATAAGACTCAGCTATCCTATGAATTGTTGCCAAGTGTCCAATTGGGAACCGGCCACATGTCTTCACGTGATGCAGGTGTGGAGATGGTGGTGTTGGTGGTGGTGGCGGCGGCTGGCTTTCTTTATGTTATAGTAGTTGATAAAATGCCTAATTGGAAATTAGGGTTGCATTACAATAATTTTTCCATTTTGTTTTATCCTGCGGCTACCGACGGAACTTTTCATATTGGTATCCAACAAATGTGAAAGAGCATTTCCCCATGCAATATAGTTTAACATTTATCTTATCTCTTTTAGTTAAATTAAAAAATTTTTAAAAGTCTAGAAACTTTATTTTTGTTGAATTTTTCATTAGATTTATCATTTTGTTGATATACCCCATGAGTTGTGATTGAGAATTTTTTTTTGTTCCCATACTAAGTGTGGTATTTAGGCAAATTGATGTCCTAACAGTTTTAACTCCAAGTAAGTTTAAATTCCTGACTTTATAAGTAAAATTCGCTTAAAAATGTAATTCACTAATGCAACCAGCTATTTAATGATTAATAAATTAATGAAGGCAAAAAAATACGCATTTATTGTTTTTGAACGTCAATGAAGAAATAATTATTTATAGTAACTCTTAGTCTAGATGGCTAAGGTGAGCAACTATGATAAAAGATCATGGGTTCAAACTCTCCCTCATTGGGTAATTTTACCCAAACTATTGCTTTTAGAGGTGCAAGTGGCAAACCAAGGTGGGCAATAAAATGATTATAGGCCAAAGTAAGCAAATTTAAGAGACGAAATTAGTGATTGATGCCCATTTTATTTAATTGCACACCACCGCATAATCACCTAATTGCCCGTCTCTGCCTCCTCCATCATTACTACACTCCCAAGTTAACCTATAAATCATAGTTGACCTTAATTATTAAAAAAAAATAAAATAAAAAACACTCTCAACCCATTATTTAGGTCAAACTCAATCCACTTATCAAGTAATTTAATTTTCATCATAGTTATCAAAATTTAAATTTAAAATTTAAATAAATCTAAATATATATCCCAACTCATATATATATATCTATGCCAAGGAATGTTTAATCTCCTCCAACTATAAAACATAAAAGATTTTAGCCCTCTCATCAAAATTTTATTCTTCTGACTCATAAAGAATTCAATAGGTCAGAATAACACTACGAATTATACAATAGATGTAACTCTCTGTTTACCTTATCAAATTAATGAAAATTATTGTGCACGAGAAAACTTATATCCAATCTTCCTCCTACTTACATAAGTAAAAAAATTAGTCAAACCACACATGATCAATTAATTTTAATATAAATATTTTTACTTTTAAATAAATTATTAAATTTAATGCAATACTAAAAAATTATTCAAAGTTGAAAAAAAAAAAAAAGAGTGCTTCGACTTAGTGATATTTTAATACTTTTTGAATATCAGGGAAGTCTAATGAATTAAAAAAAAAAAAAAAACTATATTGAGAGTCAAAAATGGTATGATAGAAGTTGTGGTGTGACATTGTTGACATTTGGAGGAACAAAGGCACTAGTAGTGGGGACAAACCGAGTGTGCACCACCTAACTTTAGGTTGCCCCCCAATACCATCTTTTCAAATCAACTATTTGGAGAACAATTTATCAAAGAAGTTGAAGTGGAGCATTCTCATTCTGCCTTTTCTTTTTTCACATTGCACGCACTAAAGGGAGGTTAAAGCTAGAACTAGAAGGGAAGGGATAAGTGATGTTCATCTCATGCATTGTGTGGAGTTGGATAGCTTCCATGTTTTGAGGACTGCCATTGAACTTGCTAGAGCTTCAATATTCCTTAATGCCATACGACAAAATCTCACATCAAACCCATAAAAAGTACTTCTATTAAACTTGTTGGTCAAAGGGTTTGGCATTTTCAAACTTTTTGATCATTTACATTCATGCATATGTACTATATAGTTTCAAACAAATAGAATAGCTAGCTAGGTTACAGGTATTGTTTCTCGAACCTAACAAATTATATATGCGTATATAATAAAGAAAGGCAGCTTTCTTTTTATCCCAGCACTCAAAAGAATTCAGAGATTAACTTATATAAACTCGGTGTATATATCTACTTATAGACTAAATTTATGAAAAATAATTTTTTATTGAAATGATAATATTTCTAAACATACACAGAAAAACATGATGAAATCGGATTAATTCTAAAAAAATTTTAATTTATTAATTTGGTCTTAGATGAATCCATAGGCCTGATCTAAACAAGTAAAATCCAAGAATTTAAAGAAATGCTAAAATTCAACATATATCTTTATAAAATTTTGATTTTATATTCAAATAGAGTGTGGAAGTATTCATTGATATTCTTTTGGAATGATGCTTTTTTTTTTTTTTTTTTTAGAATCCCATAGGCTTATCTTAAACAAGTAAAATTCCAAGAATTTAAAGAATGCCTAAAATTCAACATATATCTTTTATAAAATTTTGATTTTATTATTCAAATAGAGTTGTGGAAGCTATTCATTGATATTAACTTTTGGAATGATTGCTTTTTTTTTTTTTTTTTTTTGAAGTTAAAAATGTGAAATATTTAATATGAAATCAAGACCAATCTATTTAGAACGAGGGCATTTTTTTTTTTTTTTTTTGAAGTTAAAATGTGAAATATTTATTATGAAATCAAGAAATCTAATAGAACAGGGGTGGTACAGAATCCCAAACCCCCAAGCCTACTTCGGAATGTGTTTCAACTGCTAACGTATGTGCAGCCACATTCGCAGACCTAGAAACAAAATTACATTTAGCGATTAGTATCTCAGACAAAAGAGATCTGCAGTCCTGAATTATCAAACCAAAAGCAGATGAATCATTTGTAGAAACATTGTTGATGGCATTGGCAACTGACTGAGAGTCAGTTTCCAACAAAATATAATTCTATCCGTGATCCTTGATCCAGCTCAAAACTTCTCGTACGGCTATGACCTCCACCACCGTAGCACTGAAAAACCCCGAAAATCTCCACGTTTTGCTAGCAATAAATTCAGAGGCTGAATTCCTAACTATTTTGTCAATACCCACATAACCAGCAGCCACTCCAATTGAGGCATCTATGTTCACTTTTAACCAATTAAACGGAGGTGGACTCCATGTACGATCAAAGGTGACTGGAAAAGGAACTACCAAACACCCGTAGCTAGTAGAATTACCGCCCCTGGATTCCTGTTTCTTTTTTGGAATGATGCTAATTCATTAAAGAACATTCACATTATATAGGATTTAAGAAACACAATGAAAACAAGGGAAGAAAGGGTATGAACATTGTCAGGAATCTTGCTAGTACATGTAAATGGGAAAGTGGAAACTATGTCTTTCTTAATTTATTCTGTCAAATGTAATGTCCTTTTTTTTCCAAAATTCCAAATGATATCTAATAGCATTGTCCTTGAGAAAATTCAAATATTTTAAAGTCTTAAAATGTAGTTTATAAGTGTAGTGTTGAATAAATATAATTTTATTAAATCGAATTGCTGCTCTAGATGGTATAAGACCTGAAGATTAGAAAACTTGAAGCATTTGATTTATTTCTTATTTTTACTTATATGTTTCTAAATATATAATTAAATATTTCCTTTTAGTTTTTATCTCAGTTTTAGAAAATTGTAATGGGATGCAGTTATGCATATGAAGTAGTTATTGGCTTCATGTAAACTGATTTATTTATTTGAAAGGAGAGTATGAAATGATAAGGTATCGAAGGGTTCTCTCTAATGAGCATTTAAACCAACAATAATAGGTGAAAAAGGAAGAAACACTCAAAAATTCAGATTTGTATTGATACAAGTATTAATTTACCTGTTGATTAACGCCAAACCAAATCACTGAAGAAAAATACACATATATGTATATTTGCTATGGTAAAATAAAAATAAAAAATAAACTAATTAAGCTAAAAGAAATAGGAAGACAAATAAATAAAATTGATACCCTCATCTCCTAATAAGGCTAAAACAACTATTTTTTTTTTTTTTTTTCAAAAGTGACAAAATTAGGAAGGAAGGCAACAGCTCTATCTAGTCATGCCTCCCTCAACTATTGGGGCCATTGCAAGTAATCTTCTCTGCCTTTCCATGTTCCCATGCCACCCTATTCAATTAAAAAATAAAAACAAAAAAAAAAAAAAAAAAAAAAAAAAATTAAAAACAAAAAAAAAAAAAAAAAAAAAAAAACCCAAAATATAAAAAACTTGCAAAATAGTTAACAAATGAAAAAAAAAAAAAAAAAAAAAAAAAAAAAAAAAAACCCCAAATATAAAAACTTGCAAATTAGTTAACAAATATGTAAAAACCTAAAATTATCCATTAAAATACAAAAAGAAAAGAAAATGAGAAATCAAGAAACTAACCTATAGACATGTCAAAGCCACGGTTGGTGAGCTCTCTATACTCTTGACACAAAGCACATCCTTCACAACAATAATGAACACAACAATCTGGGCATGGCTTTTCTTCCAAGAAATATTGCCCCCTCAATTTTGCTCGATAGAAACATGAGTATATACATGAGCAACCCGTCAACCACATTATCAATATATACATTGCTCCACTTACTCCACACGCTGCACACGAACACAATTTATTTTTCTAATTAATTAATCTATAACCATATATATATTTTTTAAAGAATTTAATTTTTTTTTTTCAAAATTAGAACTTACAGGTTGATCCTCTATCAACTATTTCTGCAATTCTTCCAAATGTGATGCAAGGGCACCACCATGTCAAACAACCTACAAGATAAAAATTAACTACTGTTATTATGATAACGTAGATTAAATTTGCTAGAAAAATAATTAAGTATATACTTACAACTGTTAATATCGTTGAAACAATCCCAAAGACCGGTGGACCAAGCCACCGGAGTGCGGGGAACGTTAGGAGTAGCGGAGGTTGGAGGGAAATTGGAGGCGATGCCGGTGTCTATGATGGGTTCTCCCATATTTGAACATTGTGATGGTGGTGGTGGATATGGCGGTGCAGATGGTGCTGCAAATGATAACTCCCTTTGAACGTCTTTTCCAGAAACTGTTGGGGGATACATGGGTTTGTCGTACATGTTGGTTCTTGCTTGAGGAGAATAATGTAGATTTTTGAATAAAAAGATTGCAAAATGACGTGTCTCAATTATCAGATTAACCGTTTTGCAACTGTTGATGCAACTTTTTTTTTTCTTTCTTCTTTTTATCAAAATTACTTAATTATCTAAAATTCTTTTTTTTTTTTTAAAGGAATCTAAAATTCTTCTTTTCTTTTCAAGTTTCATGCAATTGCATTTTCATTATAAAACTCTATCAGAAAGAAAGAAGCTTTTGCTTGAAGAGTGGGTGGTGTCAGGGTGAAAGAAACAGAAAGAAAATTAGTGAGACGTAGCTAATGGTATAAGGGTATTGTAAGTTTGGAACACGTTTCTCTGTGTGTGTGTGGTATCCCTCGAGTTGAGAACAACCGATGGATTAATTGGTTATGGACTAACTATATTATTTTTGTGTTAGAATCTATAAAATCTCCAAACCCTGCGGATGGAGTGGATGAGATAGATTATCTACGATAATTATATATGTTAATTATAATCATTTTTAGTGTTTATATATAAGATCCTATATTAAGTTATATGCAACTTTTGAATGATGTTTTTGGTAGAATAATATTAGCAAATCGAATAAATTTCTGAGTTCATTTAAAATCGAAGAAATTTAATATATAATTTTTTTTTTCAAGAAAAAAATCATATTTTTTAGTCTCTACTTTTGAATCAATTCATAATTATTTAGGAAATGAAAACAACAAATTTAATTTGTTGGAAACGAAGTTTGAAAGGTCAAATCCATAAGTCTAAGTTCAAAATGAAATTAAGTGTACTAAACAAAATATTAACAAATCAAAAAGCTGTGACGACTACAATAAAAATCAAGCAAATGAATATTTTATAAACTGTCTTGAAAATACCCTAACAAAAAAAAAAAAAGAAATGTTACCAAAGAGCTGGATCTATCCTGCCGTTCTTGAGTCCGGATATTCTTTGAGAAAGAGGACAATGTTCAAACATTGAGTGAACAAATCAATCCGGAGCTGGTGCCTCTATCAAGCCGAACCGATGCCTCATCTTTCTCCGGTAAGGCCGTGACATCAAACAAGGCGCTGCATGCGGCGTACATGATTCCACTGGTGGCACAAGCTGCATATCAGCATTAATCATATTAATGGTTAAAGACAAAGCTAATTAATTGAATTTAGTTTAGCGATGGATGTTCGATATGCTTACTGGTGTAAGCGTTGTCCATAACATCTGCTATTTGTCCGAAGGAAAAAAACGCTGTCGTAAGAGCTGTAACAATAATTTTACAAGCAGACGTTATTGTTCGACCTAATTATTAAGCGAATTAAAAAGATATATAAGAGTTGGAGGAAGTAAGTTACCGTCTAGTTGCACGGACACCTTAAAAGACTAGCATACCACTGTATTACCCGTGTTGGATACCAACGCTCTTCGAACATTTTGAATATACATGTCAAACGCTTTAAAAAACGTGTTCAATTTTTTTTTTAATTTATTAATTTCGGACATTTCTTGAACACTTCAAAAACACTTCAAGGACACTTTAAAGTTAATTTAGTATAAGTTTACCATGAAAGTAAGGTGTTGATAGATAATTCATGGTGCGAATGCACCTCTACTTTAAAAACATAGCTTCCAAATTGCTTGGACAACCATCTTCTTCATCATACTGTGAAAAGAATTAGGATATATATTCATTTATTAATTCCGTGAGAATGAATAAATTAACTCCAAAACGTGCTGAAATTTAGTTTTTGTTCATGGTAATCAGCTACTTATATCAAGAAGAAGCCCACAATATTACATTGAACAAACAAAAATATGCAATGTTGCAGAGGATCGATATTAAATTTGTAGTATACATATTAGAGATGTTAGATGAGAATGTTAAGAATTAATCTCAAATAATTCCACAATAACCTAGATCGTGCAAATCACTAGATTCAACAAAATAGATTGAATAAGAAAAGGTTGCGTACCTAATTCCACAATAACTAGATCGTGCAAATCACTAGATTCAACAAAATAGATTGAATAAGAAAAGGTGCGTACCTGACTCGTTGTTTCGTCGATCTTTGATGATATAAAATTAGGTTTAGGTTTGCAGCCTTCCAGAGAATTGAAGAATCGATTTAGCGGAAGCAGTACGAAAGGAACGTAAAACTGAATCGTATTCAACTCTTCTGGGGACCAGGACCTTTATATACCTGTAGGGTTAGTACAATTCCTATTTCAGTCCTTTAACGAAATAGAAATTATATAATGGTCTCTCCACTTAATATCTATAATTAGTTGACACCTCAATAGTCAATTATTCACAATCAAGACCACATTTGAAATTGACTTTACAATTGGACTGTTGTACATATTTAATTTTACATATTAAGCCCACAATTACATATTAAGCCCACAATAGAAAATTAAATCCAACAATCTCCCACTTGGGCGACATTATGTTAAATAAAATACATACACCAAAATGAGCTCAACAAACGCAGTCATACAAGGTATCCAAAAACAATCTCGTCCATTAATTATATTGATAAAGAACTGAAGAAACATTCGCCATAGATCTCATGACTGTTCATCATCAACTACCTTACCAATACCCCTAAATGACACAGATTCATTATAGAAGTGTAGGATGAAAACTAAATGTAATGTGATCATCATGTTTGTTTCCAACTGGTCACCAACAAAAGTGAGATCAAGCAAAACAATAATAATACAGAGTGTAACCATCAACCAAAATGAGTACTCAATAAAATTTCATCAACATAATAAAACATATCCAAAACAAAATAGAGCATTCAAAAACATACAAAACCATAATGTATACATAAAGAGCAGACTCCCACTAAAACTAGACAGTCTCAAACAAAACGATACCCATATGAGCGGTGTGCTCATGGAAAACTTTCGGTATCACTGCCTTTGCAAGCGGATCCGCAATCATAGAGTTTGTTCCAATATGCTCTAAGGATATCTGTCCACTCTGTACCCTCTCCTTCACAGCCAAGAACTTAATCTCAATGTCAAGAACTTAATGTCAATGTGTTTTGATCGAGAAGAGCTCCTGTTGTTGTTGGAGAATAAAACGACTGACCTGCTGTCACAATACAACTTCAGTGGTCTTTCTATTCCACCTACTACACGCAGCCCAGTGACAAGGTTTCTCAACCAAATAGCTTGATTGGATGCCTCATAAGATGCTACAAATTCAGCTTCCATGGTGGAGGTTGCTACTGCCACTAGAGTTTGTTTCACACTCTTCCAAGAAATAGCACCACCAGCCAATAGAAAAACATAGCCAGATGTGGATTTTCTTCTGTCTTGGCATCCAACGAAATCAGAATCTCCAGCGAAATCAGAATCAGTATACCCAATGATCTCAAGCTGATCTGATCTCCTATATGTGAGCATATGTCCCTTAGTCCTCTGAAGATATCTCATGGCTCTTTTGGCTGCTTTCCAATGATCCATTCCTAGATTGCTGAGATATCTACCTAACATGCCAACTATAAAAGAAATGTCTGGACGAGTACAAACTTTAACATACATAAGACTTCCTATAGCTGACGTATAAGGAACCTTTTGCATTTCCTAAATTTCAAGTTCACTCTTTGGACATTGTTGATTACTAAATTTATCACCTTTTGCAATAGGGGTATCCAATGGTCTGGTATTCCAATGGTCAATAAATTCTGCCATACTAAATCTCTTGAGCACTTTATCCAATATAGCTCTTTGTGAGAATCCAAGAATACCTCGAGAACGGTTCTCGAATGTATCGAAATCCCTAAAAACAAAAAAAGCTTCACCTAAATCGTTCATCTCAAAATGCTTTTTGAAGGAAAAACTTTTTGGTTCCATGTCAAGACTTACAAATTAGTAAGCAAAGAGTATGTCCATCCACATATGAAGACCAAAAAGATAAAGCCTACTCCCACTGAAACTTATGGTACACACAATTTTTCAAAACGTATTTGCCTCAAAGCCAAACGAGACAATTACTTGGTGAATTTAAATTACCATTGATGGGAGAGGGGCTTTGCTGAGTCCATAAATGGATTTCTTTAATTTGCATACCAGATGTTTTTTGGGATCTTTGCCAATTATAAAACTTTCATGGTTGCACCATATATATTGTTTCATCCAATGTCGCCATTGAGAAACGCCAGTCTTAACATCCATTTTGATGAAGGCTCAAGATCAAAGATTTGCAAAACTAAGGCCATGATTGTCCTAAAAGAATCCCCTTCGAAGAAACTGGGAGAAGAAGGTTTCTTTATAGTCAATCCCTTCCTTTTGAGTAAAGCTTTTTGCTTACAAGACGTGCTTTATATTTCTCCACATTACCTTGAGAATCCCTTTTGGTTTTAAAATATTCCATTTGCCAACCAATGGGTTCTTTCCTTCAGGTAACTTGAACAAAGATCCCCAAACTTGATGTCTTGCATAGACTTATACTCCTTTGTCCATTCATTGAATAAGCCCTCTCCAGCTCGGCAAGCATAGGTTTTGAGCATTGTGTCTTTTCAGCTGCAGGACAGAGTCTCTAACATGTTCTGGGACTCCTTCTGCATGAATCATCAGACCTAAGCGATTAGAAACGCTCGCCACTTCTCATTACTGAACCCTTTTGAACATTTCAGTTTGCTCGTATCAGTTAAGAGAGCAGGTTCGTCCATTCCTGAAATGCCAAGATTCCAATCCATACAGCCCAGAAAGATCATAATGTCTGATTCTCCAAGACTCAAAATTGATCCCTCCAAGTTTAGGACACAATCAGGATTAAATACATGTAGCTGACATCGAAGAAAAATAACCAAATAGAATAAGTATAAGCTCACCAATCCACAAATGAAACCCAATTCACATAAGTAGAGATCCAAAAAAATGGGAATAAGATACAGACCACAACATTAATATTTTTCTCATCTTTGGATGTAAAACATTAACTTGTAATTAGGTATTCTCAACGCAGCAATCAAATATTGATAAACATATCCCTGGACAAATAATAATCTTCCTTGGGACCGAATATTCATTGTCATGAAAATAATCAAACAATTATCACATACTTATTGCCAACATTGTATTCAAAAAACTCAGCCAGATAGCAACCCTTCCTTTTGGGCCGAATTAACTTATCCGCAACGATTCTAATACACCTGTCTAATATTCTTAAAAATTAAATCAATTCAAGGCAATAGAGGTCACTTTGGTGACTTATTGGATTTCAAATCAATTATTTTTAATAAAATTATCAAA